GGGGGTGCGAAAAACTGGCTGATTAAGCCTGGGGGAGGGAAACCGTTAACCAATTGGGTCAAGTATGGTTGGGGTTTTGTCATATCAATCGGTAATTATCAGTTTCTCTAGTTAACTACTCCGTACTGATGTACAACAGAGTACTTGCCAAAAAAAAAAAAAACACCGTGCACAAAATTCAACCCACTACGGAGTCCTCCGTATATTGGTCCACAATGGTTATATTGCTTGAATCTACAGACTTGAACGATGATAGAACGTCGTGGTCACCGGAATTCCAAGGATATTTACATATGATCTGGATTCTTCGCCACCCTTTTCCGCGTCGATGACATCGAGGCCGAGTCATCCTCTTTCGGAGGCCGAAGTCGGCATGCGGAACCAAAGAATCATCGAATTCTGGTTCAGTCTCTGACCTAACAATGAAGTATTTCTTGCTCCCAGAGATTAGCTTTCCTATCAAGCAATTACTGTTAAAGGTAATCGGGATTTTTCCTATTTCTTCCTATTTTTTTTTTTTTTTCCCTAACTTTATCTTTGTTTCTTTCGCTTCCACTTCCACTTTCTCTTCCCTCTTTTCTCCTTCATTTCTCATCAGATGGCATACTTGCCTCCCTTCTAGACTTCTACATTATTGAAACCCGTAACGTTCCCCCCCTTGTTGTCTGTACCATATGTATTTTGTACTGTAGTATACGAAGCGTAGTCCATTATCCACCGGCCACCTCGTATTAGAGCCAAAGGTTCCGTGCACCGCCGGGTATCCATTCTGGTTGGTGGAGGGAGCTGAGGCTGGAGGACACTGGAATACGGGACTGCTTAGGTTTGCCCGATGCGCGGTTCGCGCGAAACAAAAAGAAAATCACTCAACAGTGCTTACCAATCCATCTTAGGTTGGTTCCTGCGTGATCGACTTGGTCTTTGCCGAGGAGAGGCCGACTAAGCTACCGGACCGAGCATAATCATAAGCATGGATGACATGTATTCTCTACATGCTCTATATCTACCACCACTAGTAGAACTATACAAACAAAATAACCAGTATACTCTTTTACCCTGGCTCTCATTTTTGTCCTGCAAGTATCTCAGTATCAGTTTAGAATCGAATCGAGCACATGAGCCGATCACATCATATACTAGTTTAATTGCATCCCGCTTGAATTAGTTTAGTTTGTATAGGTGGCCTGTTTTGCTTTTTTTTTTTTTTGGCCCTCTGGTTTTCCGCGGCCTGCTGAGTAGGCTACTAACCTACTCAATTAGGTTTTCGGTAAATTCTTGAAAATATCTCGGAAATGATCCAGGGCTCTCGAGTATCACAACCTTCCCTGAACGTTTATTACGACTACCTACTTACCAGCATTCACACTTCACAATACTAATAAAATACACTAGCATCCGAAGAGAAGACCTTCGTTTCAGGAAACTTATGATTGTTCTAGCCGTGATTGATACCCTGCCCCGGCTAAAGATCTTATGACCCTATAGTAAAGAACGGCAGACCACTCCCCACGTGGTTTATCCATCTCGTTATTCTTCGTGATAGCTTCAAACATATAAGCCCTAGTCACAACCTTCGGTTAGTTACGGAGCAATCTGGCGCACATTCCAAGCTTGTACATAGCGGTGATTTTGATATGCACGATTAGCCGCCTTCCAATTGCCGTGCAGCTAGCTAGCGCATTGCTCAATGTACCTTTCACATTCGCTCAAGATATAGAATATGCTCGAAACAAGTCTACCGGGAAATCCGTTCGGCTACAGGTGTATCAAACCCTAGCTAGGGTGCGACCCGGCGATCGTCGATTCGCGACTGGTTAATATATTGACGATGGAGAATGTAACCCAAAGAGGAAGTAAATTCCAATCGTGATGCCAGGTACAATTTCACTTTTGATTCTTTCTATCGAAGCATGCACTCCTGAGGGTTTATACCCCCATGATGCTGCGTTGTGAACTTTTATGAACGTGGCTGTAGGAAAGGCCGCACAGGTGTGAATTCCTGCATATATGAGGATACATCTTGGTTGTAGATTGGGCATACTAGGAAGTATACAATACATACCTATAGATGAAGTTCTTCCAAAAGTTTAGACACTTTAAATCAGACTATTCACGCGAGGGGAATTCTTGTATTTCCAATCCTACTTTCATTCATATGAGGACAAATACGCATGGCTAGTTGCTCGATTGCGTATACTACCTTAAACACTCGTTCGTGGGCCACTGGGAATGTCATATCAATCTAAAGCAATGGTATTCCTCTGAACTCTGGAGAAACTGGCATTAGGGCTGCAAATAAGTTTCAAGAAACTGTGTAGGATGGATCATGAACCGTCTCAGGAAAGGCAACTCTGTCCAATCCAACAATACACGTCTAAGTCAAAGTTTCTCTACAATACAGAATCTCAGAAGATATACATATAGCAAAAGTCAAGTATGGTGCAGGTCTCAAACCAAATCTTCCTGTTGTATACGCCAACAGCATGTGACTAATAAATGCCAAGAAATATCACTTTTGAAAGCGTCTATCAATCCAAAGCCGTTATCGATTTTCCTGGTCTTCCCGATCATCATTGTACCCGCCTTACTGCATAGCGGAGGAGATTCTGAGAGAAAAGTGGGACTAAACGTATAGTTCCTGTCCAATATTGATTCTTCTCGTCCCATTTGGCCAGCCAATTGGAAAACCCCTTGATACAGCACACAGATGCTGATCGTTAGGTGTACCTCCAGACCATGAAGCAAATAAAAAGTCTCCTAGCCATGGTGCTGGGAGTCATTGAGCGTATCATCCAGTACATAATTGGCGTCGATGACAAAAAGCTGTACTCACTAGACCATGCCATTCTTAGCATGGAAGTTCCTCCTAGGAGCATGTGGATGAACATGGGATATTGGAAGGTATGTAAAAAAAAAATAATGAGTGTTTGAGCCCATTGTTCCTCTTCCCTGCTCAGTATCTCGATGTTCCTATGCGTATAGTCCTTGGTGGAAGTAAATTAAATCAAGATTCTAGAATACGAGCTCTTTCATTAAAGCTTGCGAAGCTCTCTTAGAACAAGTCCTCATCGCTGCAAAGCTCCTCAATGAAGATGGCACGCCCGTCCAAACACACCACCAGAATATTACACTGGTTGATGTCGGAATTGGCTGCGGCGACCAGTCTTTATACCTAACGAGGAGACTCTCTCGGGTCAGTCCTGGCCCCGTTACTACTGCCTCTTCCAATGGGCCCAAGACAGCTGTCGATAATGGTAGCGGTGCCCAGAGCGGCGAGATGAGAAAGAGAAGAAGAGGGCCGAGTACCCACGAAAGCCGACCGCTGTTCGACTCATACGTGGGCGTGACTATTGAGCAATCTCAAGCGGATTTTGCCCAAGAAAGACTCTCAAAGGACAGCACAGGAGACTCCGGGGAATCCGCAGAATGGACACCAGATGTGAAGATCTTTGCCGCCGATGCAGCGGACCCGTCATCTTGGAGAGAGGAGCTGCAGCAAGCCGCCCTGGGAAACTCTGGTCGTGCTGCAAGCAAGAGTGAAGCTACTAGCATGTATACGGGGAGCGAGAAGACACAGAGATGGCTGCTAGCCCTCGATACAATGTACCACTACAAGCCGTCTCGAGACCCGTTACTACAGTATGCATGTCGAGATATACAGGCTTCGATCATGGCATTCGACCTTCTGATCTCTGGATCTGCGTCGTTCTGGGAAAAGCTAGTTTTACGATCGATGTGTCTTATATCTGGGATGCCCTATTCGAATTTCCTTACGGAGCAGGAATACGTGAATATGCTGGTCCGGGCTGGGTACCAGCAAGATATGATTGAGATGAGGGATATCTCAGAACACGTCTTCGCAGGCATTGCGAACTACATACGGAAACAAGACGCGGAGCTTAGGCGATACGGAATGACCGTGGGCAAGTTCAAGGGAGCCGCGAAGGCTTTCAATTGGTGGGCAAGGACGGGGGTATTGAGAGGGTTTGTAGTGGTCGCTCGCACCCAAGAGTAGGGAGGACAGCCTCGCACCGCGGCTCTTCGGCAAAACAGTCGGTTATGTATCCTAGAGCGTAGCATGTGAAGACATGTGTGTAACATTAACTATGCTAGATGCAGAGATGCCAATGTTTCTTGCACTGGCAGAATTATATGATTAGACGGCTACTTATAAGTGCGCCTGTCTGTATATACATCATTTCGTCACTGTAGAACATCGTCTAAACGTTAGTCATCGGCCCGTTAGCCATGGAACTTCGACATCTAGGCTTGCGGCAACTCTCATGGCCGAAACGACGCATCCCTCGAGCAGGACCATACCGTCCCAGCACCAGGCTCCAGCAAGCCAAACGTTTCCGGTGCCGTTAGTCCAGAGCTTCTCCTTCTCTTGGTACGCACGTTCGGAATTCCCTGCGAATATCCGGTTGACTATCGTTCTGCTTTGCGGAGTTCGTAGAACGCGGGTCAGGCGCGCACGATGAATAACCTTGGTGGGGTCTATAGGGGCGATTGGAAAGCTCGTCACTAGAACGGAACACGGGTGTTCATGTATCGCTTCCGTTGCCGAGGAGTTGGAGCAGATGTGTAGAATTTGAGTCGGGTCCACAGATTGCCGTGCTTTCGCAGCGAACCTGCCCAGTGACTGGTTACACTCTGGAAGGGAAGATCGGTCACGGTGAACCACCGCCTCTCCCTGATTCACGGGGATTGAGCTCATGAGCTTCCGGAGAGGTTCGTAGATTGCGCCAACCACGTTTGGTGTGACCGCCATTACGACGTGATCGAACTGCCTGGAATGGACCTCCTTGCGTTTCGAGTCGGTCCATGTGACCTGGACTTTCGAATCAACATTTTCGACCCGGGTAACAATTGCGCCGAGCCTTACAGACTGGGCGTTGGAGATCTTAGTCTGGACGTTTTGAACGCCTCCGACAACGGTATAGTGGGGCTGGCGATAGGTGCTCCTCGCATAGTCGACAGCGTCGATCGCGGGAAAATCAAGAAGCTCGCTATGTGAGCAAGTTGTCACACTGGACAGCAACGGCAAAAAATAGGTGTTGACGAAGTGCCGCGGTAATCGAACCCGCGTGAGGTATTGTCGTAATGATTCACCTTCATCGGAGGAGGTGGCTGGCCTGGGTTCAACCAGGAAGCAACAAGCCGTAAACCAGAAATAGCAGACTGCCAGATACAAGATCCGCAGTATCCATTCCACGTAACCGCAACCTTCCGGTCGAATTGGCGGCACTTGGTGATTGCTAGATGAGTGGATAAAGTGCGGAGGCAGCTTCTTTCCATCCGTTGTGGAAATGGTAGACAACGGGTATATGAATTTCGGCGATGTGTATTTGACACCGAGATGATCATACATCAGTTTGAGGTTGTTATGAAAGCCATCATCAAATGCGCGCATGGGCACATCCACCCGATACGTCTGATGATCTTGGGAAGTTATAGTGTACGAGGCAGAGTCCAAGGACAACTGATCTTGCTGTAGGGGTTGTTTAGTCCATGTTGACTTGGGGCAGATCAGGTATTTAAAAGTACCATTTCAAACACCTCCACTTCATATCTGCGTTTGCGGTCTTGCTGGATCAGGTACGCCGTCACCAGCCCTGCCATTCCAGAGCCGATGATGGCGACGGTCTTTTGGGGCTCGGGAGCCGTCATTACGGACGATCTGGAGTTGAAAATCTCTGCCACTGCCTCGGCTATTGGGAAGATACCATACCTCCAGCACCCGGGGTGAAAGTCGCTCGATTGGTATTCGATGTTTATGTCAAGAGAGTCTCTCCCTCACGCCGCTTTTGAATTTCCAGAAATCGAACCAGGAGGGTCTGGGCATAAATCAGGTGATGCACGATTGTGCCTAGGGACCGAATCAAACTCTATTGCATTTGAAATCGAAATATGGATTTTCTCATCAGCGCCGAGCCTATCACCTCCGCCAGAGCTGAAAGGGGGACTGTGCTCTTAGGATGGAACCCAAGCATTAGGGTGATGCACCGACCCACTCTCAACCAAATTTGAAACCCCTTCCCTTGCATTGGTGCCCTGAAGCCTGCAGGCTAAGGAGTATGTGCATGAAATCTTCAGGATGGGTGAAGTGAACTCGATTACTTACGATCGACTCCGTAGTTAATAACTGATTGGAGTTTAGGTGGTTTAGTTTTCAGGGTCTTATGCTTACTGATCCCAGATGGGGGCGAAAGGACATCGAGTGGAGTGGCACTCACGTGATGCTCAACAAGTCCTTCTATACTCTGTAGTATTATCATCCCTAATGATGGCCTTGTGATGGAGAACATCTGTTTCTATTCTCTGTTTCTATTTTCAGCCCCGTCTGATTACTGGACTAGCATGTTATTAACTGTGAAAATTGAGAATAAAATGAAAAATGACAGTGAAACTCATTCGCAGGGGATATCAAGCCCACCAAGTCCGTCCAAATACCTTATCACCACCCGAAGAACTGGCATGAACCCAAGATGAAAAAGAAAAACAGACAGAAACAATCAAACTCCGACCCAACTCCTTCGTAAACGTTCTCTACCTTACCTTCTTTGCATTAATCGTCATGTGAACGAAAATTATACATGAGAAATTCAGTTTCCTGAGTGCGTAACATCATCTCAAGGTTGCCCCAATCTCAAGCGGGGACAACCATCGGTCATGAACCTAGCCCTTCTTCGCCTCGCCCGGCACTTCAGACTTGGTCTCAAGCTCTTCGTCCTCCTTTCGGTCTCTCGGCTTCTCCTCGTCACTTTCATCGCCCGTGATTTCTCCCCATCCCGAGCCTCGGCGGCTGATACGCCCGGTTGATATCGCATTGGCCATGGTCCCAGTAACCCCGGAGATACTTGCCGCGTTACTGTCATGCCGGCTATGGGACTGGCCCGCACTCACAAAACTTGCACCATCCCCTACGCCCGGGCTTGGTTTGTTCGTATACAGGCTGCCGCGTTCACCACCTCCGCTTATAGGTGCTGCGCCAGAGGCTGAATAAATGCTGATCCGCTCCGCACTAGCTAGGCCAACTATACTCGGTCGGTTGAGGACTCCGGGGGCGTTGAATGTGGATGTATTCGACGGTTCACCCACATTTCCGCTCAGTACGCTCAATGGCAGACTTTCCCGGCTACCGCCGAAAACACTCGACGGGGCGAGGGCACGTATTGAGGCATTGGTATCCAGTGAGTTCCGTCGACGTCTCTTAGAGGAAGATGCCAGCGTGAGAATAGAAGCGTTATCAGTCAAAAGGTTGTTTGCAGTCGCAGTACTGTACGTAACGGAGTGGCCGTGAGGGGCAAGGTGGGGCGGTACTGCAGTAGCCGGAGAAGGAGGAAATTGATGTGAAAACTGTACTTGCTGTGGTGTAGTGCTGTTTATTGAGCCTGTATGATGTATACCGTGTTGTGTATTCTGCGTATTATAAAGATGACCGGAAGGGGCCGCCGACTGCACGGTGGTTAAAGTGGTGGTTAGCGACCGTACTGACGGTGCTGGGGAGGAGAAGGTACTTCCTTCACCTCCTCCATGTGAACTGATCCCGCCGCCCACCGTTGCCATTGTCCCGGCCTTAGAATAAGCAGCATCCGAGATCGCTGTGTCACCGTTTGTAGAGATAGTTGGCGCGGTAGACTTTGCACTGGTCGCCAGCACTTGATTGTCGCACCCGGAGTACGCCAGAGACGGCTCGCTCTGCGAACACGACCTTTGTTCATTACTATCACTGAAGTCGGATGGATTATTGTCACTGTTATATTCATGGATGTTGACTGTGCCGGAGAGCGGGTAGGGATTGTTCTTCAGACTCCGTTTGTGTTTGGGTACAGCATGGCGTTTGTGAGACCAACGAGTACTGCCTGAATCGGTGGAGCTCTTGAGACTGGCGAGGCGCTTCATCCAACTAGAAAATGGGCGACGGCGCCCATTGCGGTCTGAGTCAAACATTAGACATTAAGCCCAGAGACACCGTTGACATTGCGCTTGGGGGAACGCACCATGCGCCCTGGCGGGGCCCTCAGTAGTGGCCATTCTGGCCTTGCACAGGTATAGATCCGATAAAGCCAAAACTGTTCAAATGGTATCGGGAGACAGCTAGGTCAGTAAAGTGTCTGAGCCGTTAGAGACGGTACTGGTCAATGCGACAAGGCAGACGATCAGATAAGAGCGGCAGGAGACCGGGGAAAACGAAAATGGACGAAGGCACAGTATAAAGGCTTGAAATGTGAGACACAGAATAATAACGTAACGACACACAAGCAAAATCTGACCAGGAGTAGGAGTCGTTATCGTTCTAGAGAGAGAAGTTGGACAACCAGAAAGATGTTGGGCTGTTGCCTTTGCCTCAGGAGTCCAGCAGGAGATGCTGGGCTGGCCACACGTGATCCCCGCCTCATCGGCGGGCCCAAAAATCAAACAAAGCCTTTGATTTTCCTTTCCAACCACGGATTGTATGTACCAGCCTTCTCACTAGACTAGTAGCAGTGGACGATCGTAGTGGCTGTTGTCAATTGCTGCTATTCATGGCCGACTTTGAAGCTTAAGAGGCTTGGCTACTGCAAGGATGGCGCGTATCTTACTTACACCATCCCTTTCGTCACCAAGTAAACTGCATATACTCCGACTAATATCCAGACAACGCGAAGTTCCAATCATCCTTAGTTCCCGATTTGCTGGACTATCGTTTTGCAGAAGCAAAGTTCATTAAGGTGGTCGATTTATTGCATATCTACCTCCCACTACTAGTGGATAATGAGTACCTAATATTTGAAAAAATAAATAAATAAAATAAAATAAAATAAAAGATTAAAAGATTAACAAAATAAAAAAAATATAAAATAGAACCAAAGCAGAAAAAGGATTGGAACTAACGAAGGATATTTTGGATAGACCGAGTGATTAGTAGTGTAGATATACGCTTTACCATTGGACGATGGTCACCACGGGAAGCCGGCAGCGCTAAAAAGTTACGATCTTTTAGCCTGAGCGTGGGGAACACCTTCATTCTGATACAGTAGCAACTCCCGTCTTTCATTCTTTCCTCTTCCTAGTCTACCTTTTTTGATGTCTATATGCCATGGAGGTAACTTGAACCCCCGAATGACAATATGTGGCGGACATCACTTTCTGTAAGCCATGTACATTTGATTTTGACCATCTGCGATGTCTGGGAACAGTCGCAGGATTGAGCCCCTGCCGCCCGAAGTGGTAGCGAAGCTCAAATCTTCCACGTCCATCACGCACCTAAATGGGGTGATCATCGAACTAGTGAAGAACGCGCTGGATGCAGATGCCCGCACAGTATCTGTGACGGTAGACTTTCAACGTGGGGGTTGTAAGGTGGATGACGATGGTGATGGAATTCTACCAACGGAGTTCGAACCTAGTGGAGGCTTAGGGAAGGCACATCGTAAGTTGAATGTGCATCGGGTAGATATTTTTCGCTCACCTACTGGCAGATACATCTAAATATCACACTGTCACTGATGTATATGGCCAGAAGGGGCTGTTTCTAGCTTCGTTGTCGTCACTTTCGCTGCTGACCATCACTTCTCACCATGTTCGCCATCCTAGCACAAATACTATCATGTTCCACCATTCAACTCCGGTTGCACGGCTGATACCAGCTCCAGCTCAACAGGAGCTCAGGCTTAGCAGCCATGGAACTAGCGTTACGGTTAATGATTTGTTTGGAAACATGCCCGTGAGAGTGAAAAATCGTGCCTTGGCCTTACAAAGGCACGACGAATTGGATCGGCAATGGGACGAACTACGACAACAGTTGGTCTCGTTAATGCTTGCGAACGGTAACTTGACAAAGTTAGTTATCATTGAAGCTTCAAGAGATAAGAGGATCATCATCCGAACTCAGAATCGCCGAACCGATGGTGAACTGGACCTCCAGCGTATAGTATCAATCCTTGCGCAGGCAGGGCTGATTGAACGTCAGAACGCTCACAGCTGGGATACTGTCTCGGCTAACGTGCCTGGTTTCTCTGTTCATGCTGCTATATCCGTTGTGCCAAACCCTACCAAGAAAATACAATTTATCTCCTTGGGAATGGATCCAGTCTTTCCCCAAAGCAGTGTCAATATATTCTACGCCGAAGTTAACCGCTTGTTTTCTCTGTCTGATTTCGGTACTGCGGGCACCCTATCTACATCCGCTCGCGGGAGAAGCCAAAATCAGCATCCTGACCTTTACAGTGGTTCAAGTACGAAGTCTACAACCAAGGCTATCAACAAGTGGCCTATGTTCTATATACGCATAGACACTAATGAGTCATATAAGATCAACAGTGAGGGCCATGGATTGCCTGAGTCCGACAAATCTGTCCAACGCATTATGGATGTACTTGCGGCAATGATACAAGAATTCTTGAAGCAGCATAACTTACGCCCGCGCGGTGGGAGAAGGAAACAGAAGATGGCACAAAAACAGATGGTCGGAGCACCCATAAGCCGTTCTGATCGTGCACCAAACCATCCAGGTCAAGCGTTCAACAGCGAGGAAGCTCTGTGCGGTCAATTGAAATTTCCGAACTTCCAAAGGTTGGCACCAAACGTCAGTCAAAGTTTTGGAGAGTGGTCAAGAATCAAAAGTGCCCATGAGTCTTTCAACGCCCGCTCTACGAGGCCAAAAGCCAAATCAACCTCTCCAGAGAAGTCCCGTAGCATTGAGCGGGATTCAGCTCAGGAAAACCTGCTAGCTCGGCCAGAAAGAAACAAGCATAGGATGTTTGAGGGGTCAGATGCATTAGCCACATACACTGGCTTTACTACGCCTGAAACTGAGAACGGATCAGGAAGTGATATCGTGGTTCATTGGACCGATCCCTATACTGGAAGGAGTCATCTAGTCAACTCTCAGACTGGCCAGTCAGTGGGTACCAGATCACCTATGGATGCCGTTCAAAGATCTAGATCAACAGGAGCACTCCAGACAATGCGAGAGTGTGATCGTATAACAAAGCCGAGGTCAGCAATTCTGAGCAAGACACGAAACTTATGGGTAGAGAAAATGATGGACACTTGGGAAAACCCTGTCTTTAGCCGATCCGAGAAATCTCTCGATGTGATCGGAACGGGATATGGCACCAAAGCACGTATGGCACATGCCAGAGTTAACGATGTTTCAGCGGACGTTTGCGGGTTTGAAAATTGGGGATTGCCAAATGTCCGGGGCAAACTGCGAAGACAGGACTTGGAGACGGCGGAGATAATCGCGCAGGTTGATCGCAAGTTCGTTCTGGCTAAGATAAGAACTACGGCAGCAAGTGAATATAGCAATGATCCAGGTTCCACCCTGGTTCTTATCGATCAGCATGCTGCTGATGAGCGATGCCGGGTGGAGAGGTTATTCAAGGAGTATTTCACACCATCATTAGAAAGTTCTGGGAAAGTACAGACGGTCACATTGGAACCTATCATTTTTGAGATACCCGTTACCGAGGCAGATACTTTTGGAAGATATAAACAGTTCTTTGAGTTTTGGGGTGTTGAATACACTGTTGAACAAGGGCCTGCAGACAAATCTGCATGCATTTATGTGCATACACTCCCAGTGCTTATCGCCGAGCGTTGCAGGCTCGAGCCAGAATTGGTTACAAATCTGATTAGAGGGCACATTTGGAAACGCGAGGAAAACGGCATGGGACCTGAGGCCCGGGTATCAGTTTTGGGGCAGGATCGTTGGGCGGAACAACTTGATGTTTGCCCCCAAGGAATCGTCGAGCTATTGAACTCGCGGGCCTGTCGGACAGCCATTATGTTCAATGATGACCTGACGACTGAGGAGTGTCAAAGCCTTGTTCAAAACCTCGCGCGATGCGTCTTTCCGTTCCAATGTGCGCATGGACGGCCATCGATGATTCCCTTACTTGACATGACGGATACGTTGGCAACGGTTGATCCAGGAGCTGAGTATATGAGCGAAGAAGAAGAGCAAGCTGAGTTTGCCGAGGTGTTCAAAGCCTGGAGGGACAAGATCACATTGCACTAAAACCTGATCCATCTTGTTTGGCTATCAATATCTAGCGTACGATGAACATTTCGACTAGGTTGTGCAGGCGAGACAAACCAGCCATGATGCAAACCCGAATACTCCATACATGATAGGCCTTGCGCTCCCAGGACTTGGTCAATAAGCCAACTATTCGACATTGCGAGATCTCGCCTCGAAGTAGGGAGCAATCGACACAACTGAACCACGTCATTGTCTGGCTTCATTCTACTGACTAGCACATGTCTTACAGGCCTTAGGGTCTACGGTACAAAGATCAAGGATGGAAAGAAAGTCATCAAGAATGACAATATTAGGATTATTGTCGCAAAATTGTATATACATGGTACATGTAATCCACCCAAATGAACCCGTTCAAGTCCGGTCCTGCTCCTATCCCATCCATATCCAATGCAGCCGGTTCAATCGATCGAAAAGTAAATACCTAATAACACAGTTCCTCGCGACAAGTCAAGATCACCCAATGTACCCAAATCCAAAAACTCAGGGTGAAGAAAGGAAAAGAACAGGGAGTATCTCTCCCACTGTTTATATATCCCAACAGCCAGCCGTGAGGCTTGTATGATATATCTGTATATGTGAAAACCCAGTGTTTTGTTTCCCCTTTTTGTTATCCCGCCGTCTCCCGGGTATAATTCCAATTCACCCTTTCAGAATCCGCTTGACTCCATCCTGCGTATCCTGACCCATCGCTTTTATAATGAAACACGAATAGAAAAACACGAGTGCCGCCCCGAAAGGAAATGGATATCCACAAAACAAGACAAAGAGCAACATAATAATAATAATAATAATAACGATAGAATGTTATAACGCCGTAAGACATGATCGAAGAATGTAACTGTCGTAAATCATAATGGTGGCCACATATCAGCAATGCAAACGTTTCAACCATTAGTCGCTACCGACTTGGCCTTTGACGGGTGTGTCCAAGACAGGAAATCGAATTTATCCTTGGCATTCTCCAGGATAGACGATGCGCTCGACTCGGGTTGAGGAGGAATTGAGCGTGGAGTTGGGGGTGGGTCACGCGGCTCCAGCACCAACGACCGGCGATAAAACGTCTGCATACTCTTCTCGCCGCTCGACCGCACCCGGATCAATTCGTTCTGCATCCAAGCTTGCAATTCCGGCACTTCAGTCAATCGGTACGGGATTTGAAACCTCTGTAGTTCACTGATAATCTTGGCTGTCTTCATGTGTTTGTCAAAGTTGATCACTGCCATCTCACCGTCCTCGGTAGGCAGGCTGCGCAACGGCTGGTTACCGTGGTCCACGAATGTC